TGAGAAGCGGCCTGCAATCACCTTTCATCACAACCGTCACAACAACATCAGTATCAAGCAACATCCATTAGCATCTCGACTTCGGAGCAGAGTTCCATCATCTTCTGGTGGCTCTCATGACGCCTCTGTTCCTTGGATGGTGGAGTCAGGCAATGGCGTGGACTTCTCCCCCTTGATGCGACACCCAAGTGATCCTACTTGTTTCGAAGACTATGTCTATCACGATAAACCGATGATAGGCCTACAAGTCACCACGTTCAACGACGCAACATTGGTATCATTAGGCTTCTCTCATATCATGTGGGACTGTATGGGTCTTAAAGATCTCTTTGACGCATGGTCTCTCACTCTACAGGGACGCCATGAAGAGGTCATTCCGTTGATTGGGACCGATCCTCTTAGATCTTTGGGTATATCACCTGAGCCAACTAAAATGGTAACAAAGGACGGTGCAAGCAAAACAGCAGCTTCTACATCCCCTTCCGAACAGTACCGGCACATCGATCGACAACTTGGAATTGTTCAACTCGTTACGCTCGGTCTTCGGCAATCACTCGACAAGCTGCTGAACAGAAACGCGGCTGAGGAGTTTAGGACGGTGTGTGTGCCCGCAGCATATGTCAGGTCTTTGCGCAATGACGCGCTCCAAGCTCTCGACGCCGAGAATGCTAGTTCGTCGGGACCTCAAGGGCCAGAGAAGGGTCATAAGTCTCAGTTAACTCCAGCCACGTTTCTAAGTGATGGTGATATTCTCTGTTCATGGTGGACACGCAAAATCATTAGCTCACGCATCCGCAATCCCTCCAAGAGCCGCAAAACCATCGCTATACTAAACATGATGGGTTTACGTGGCATTCTGGCACAAGCAGGACGATTGCCCAAGAAAGGAGCACTGGTTGGTAACGCAATCTTGCCTATTCCTGCCCTGCTACCCACGCGAGATCTTGTCAGAAACGATCAGCTGGGCTTTGGCCGCGTTGCAAAGGCCCTCAGAGAGGCGATCGCGCAACTTAGCACTAGGCCGCAGGTTGAAGCTCTCTTGGCGCTGCAGCGGCGTGCACATGGGGATGAGGTTGTTGAGAACGGCAACAAAAAGAAAAAGTCGGGCAACGGCAAAGCCGGACTGCCTGCTCTCTTCGGCGATGCGGGCATGCACATGGTTGTGTGTACCAACTGGACCAAGGCCGAGTTCTTCAATGTTGACTTCTCGGCCGCGGCGGTTGACGAGATTGGTTGTGACGGGCTCTTTGAGAACGAGCGTGCGCGCCTTCCTGAGGCTTCATCCAACGATACTGCCGCTAGCAGTGGCATCGAAATGATGAGCGCTATGGGTTGTGATGGACTCTGGGAGGACGAACATGCGTCACGTCCGTCTGTCGCTCCTCAATCTGATGCTCCTGCTTCTCGTGTGTTGGCAAAGCCGACTGGCGTTCACATGCATTTGATAACGGCGGGTACTCCTGCGTTTCTAATGAGTATCTTTACCATCTTGGGCCGCGATGCCAATGGAGACTACTGGATTCAAGGAATGCTACGGAAAAAGTATTGGGCTAAGATTGAGACCGCCCTAAGTCCGAAGTAATCGCTTCGCTGTAGACGTAAGCTCAAGCAAAGATTCAGAATACTACATAAACAGACACCTTTCGGAATGGGATCAGAGAAAGTGATTATACTTAGTTGTGAGAGTGGAAAAGAGTCACGAACGAGCAAGTGCACCTTGATTAAATGATTCAGTCTAGGGGCATGGCTGTGTATTATGAAGATTTCTGGAGTAAGGCAGGTAAATACTCGCAATGCCGCGAATGCTTTCGCCGAAGCCGTCTTTTCCACTACACTCGATGTTCAGAGTCTTTAGCCAGGGCCTCCACGGTCTCCCTTGATGTTCCAGCCCGCGAAGTTGACGGAGTGGCCTTCATAAGCAAGTAACTCAGCCTTGGTCTTAAAGCACTTGGCGTAAATGTCCAGAGTGTTATCATTGGCCATTTTGGTGGGGATGACCATTTGCAGCATCTGCCCGTGTCCCTCAATGTACGAGAAGCGAAGTGTTGAACTCGCACTGAAGCCGAAGTTTGCAATGTACTTGGCGATCACTTTCTCGCCATAACCCCAGAGCTCCTTGGTCTTCGAGCTTCCCCAGAAGCAACTCTTGCTTGTGCAAAATTGCGGGATCCATAGTTTGGGGGCTGCATTGAAGCGGGCTTCATCTGCTTTGAATACGCAGTACCAATTCTTCTTGATCGGCGAGCCTCGCCATCCCGCAGGTTCGGAGCCTATAGCTGAGTTAGGTCCCAAGTACCTACGTAAGAGGGGTTTGAGTGAGTAGAAGCTATGCTTGTTCTCACCTAAGTAAATGCCATTTCCGATCTGACTACCACCTGGCAAGTTGTCGAAGGCCGGATCTCTGAACGGTTTGTTTTTCTCGTTGATCTTCACCGCTTCTTCCTAGAAGATGCCGCTGTGATTAGTGACATCGATACAATGAATCCCTATACACGATAGTGTAGGACTTACTTCCGCAGCAGTGCGATATCCTATCACCATTTTACCCTGGGTACCAACGATTAGGTACCCTAGGGCCAACAACAGAAAAAGCCGACTGAAAAGAGTCATGACGATGTCTCGAATCCGAATTGTGACCAGAGATCTCCTGAGAATCGAAATGATCTAACATTAAGACTGCGGCGAAGAATCAACGATTCTTATAAGTATTTCACAGACTGGGACTTCGCCATGATCGACTCTTGGAGAAACGGACTTGCCGTCGCTAAGCCGTTCGGTCTATCTTATCGAGATCGCTGTAATTGAGTTGTTGCGACTAATTCAGGTTGCTGCAACTGTTCTTGCAAAAATTCGATGAGTTCCCCTGAATGACTCAAGTTAACAGATTTGTTCCCATTGCTATAATTGACATGTTATGACTGAGTCAGGTTGCTTACCATGTAGTGTTGTTTGACCCCCAAGCCCCTAACGGAAAATTCCTCGTTAATTACCTCTACGACCTCAAGTACCGCATAGCACTCACCAGGTCCTAGCAATCGCGGCAACACTCTCCACCGTTCTCCGCTCTAGCCAAGACCAAAACCGATACCCATGTCTTGGAGAGGCAATCAAGTAAGTGCTTTATTGAACTTGCTCCAGTATTGAGCAAGTAGACAGGCTTAAGTAACCCCATATCGCGCTTCTATTCTAGGTAACTGGTGTGACATATTCTTTCCTGTGCTGAGTGGCGATAATATGTACGTCCCCAGTTCCAGCAACTCTGCCCCCAGCGTAATTCTTGATTTGAGGATACAGGGCAGAGCGTGGCGTACTAACATCTCATTCTTGCTACGTTACTCTGAATGATTCGTTCTTTCTTTTGATGATGCGATTTAGCAGCCGGTGGGATCGCCATAAAAAACTGTTTTTAACTAAGGGCCTACAGCAATCCAGTGGGGAAGCCAGTCCCCGAAATGGAGACCATCTACATTTACTCCTTCATCATGCTCTTGTGGAATAACCATACATCTGATGAAACATCAGCCATAGTTCCACTTACGTCATTCAATGAACGATATTTCTGGAGATGACTCAGGCGAATGAGCTCAGGGCTGAATACTTCTCCGAGACGCCAACCGCGAGGCTGTCCCTTCCCAAGGAGGCCCATTACATGTTTCTTGACCCTCAACTGAGAAATATGGCTTGAAAATGATTCCAGCTTTATGGATTGTCGATCGGCATCGCCGCAACAAGCTCCATCTTCTTGACTCGCTATCTGCTCAGTGTGACAGGGTGAATTGATGGGAACCGAAGAGTTCGATATTATAGTTTTTCATCGTATGAAACTTGGCTGAAAGATCTTTCTGTCTGATCTGATTTACTGGCCATCTGAAAGCAGGCGTTCTGGAACTAGTTTGATGCTCTCAATCTCTCTGACAAAGGCAGCCAACACAGACGCCAATCGCCCGAACTTGGATTCTTTTCAGCGAGCAAAATCCCTCTTGGACATTTCTGGGCTGTCAAGGCAGGATTGTTTCCAAAATTATTTCAATTTCGTTCTTCTTTTTGTCATCATTTTGAAAAGTCTCGGCATCTTGCAGGGCTTCACGGTGTCATGCTAGGGTCACTCTTATCATGAGGCGGTGAGAACGCGAACGGACACCAGTGGATCATTCATGACGCTGTAGTTTCACTTATCAAGAAGGCAGCTGGTGGATGAGGAGGGAATCTGGAGCCATGATTAAACCCTGCCTCTGGGTTTCTGGAGGCTGTGATCCCTACCCAGCCGTGGATGAGAACAGTAACATTGGGCAAGCAACACCTTCAACCTACGTAAACAATTACTGCCTCGAGCAGACTCATCCAACAGACTAGATCTATGGCGGAAAAACTGATCAAAATTTGCATAGCTGGCTTGAAACCGAGAGGCGGCGGGAGAAGTGGCTATGGAACTGGCAATAGTTGCCAAGTCTACGCCCGCCGCAGCCAGAGCCAGGGTTGTCATGGCACCATGTACAGGTATTGCCCTCCCTAGGTTCACTAGGCCGACAGGGAAAAAAGAAAAAGCATCTCGTCATTACTGAGATAGTATTGAAATTGTGTAGGGTAGAAAGGACTCTAGCGGTGCAGTGCTTCAAGGGAACCACCAACACCTACTAAAGCAACACAAGATACCCCCTTCGATCAGCCTAAATTTGACCCGAATACGGGGAAATAAGTCTCCCGATCAGACACGTTAGAGTAGCTAATCAGAAGGGTAGACTGTCCAATTGTCTTATGTTATCACGTTCGAAAATAAATTATTAGAGAAAGCTTAAGTTCGATCCTAAAAGGTGTATCTTTGATTAGAGTGAAAAGGTACGCTACTCTCTTATTCTATATCTGATCGGGCCCTTCCCCTTATATTTTTCCCCGATCGGTCCGCGTTATATCATGCTCCGTATTAACCGAGCTTTTAAAAAGAACCGCTGAGATTGATCGACCTATCCCACTCCAGTATGGTAGTCTGAGTTAATCGATGAGGTTTGAAGGAGAAGGATATCACGGGTTTTCGGCCGGTCGGCGTTTGGAACACGGTTGATCATCTGAACTGGGGCACGCCATCCACCCTCAGAAGAATTTCTTTCCGAGGCCCAAGTGTTGGCCTCGGCATGGCAACATATCCCAAGATGAAAATTTATGACAACGTCATCGCGGCCTTCAAGGGCGCCGACGACGAAAACATCATTGACCGAACCCTGATCAGCCGTGAGTCACTGCTAGCTTCGGCCAAGATGCCGTCACCGACATTTAGTATGAGAAGACTCAGATTCCTTTTAAGGACGCCAATTTCCAGCCCCAGATAAACGCCGTGTAGCAGGAGGGTTCTTTGCGGGGACCTACATAGTGGTGGTGGATTGCGACCGACCACCTAAACTTGATACTCCGGATGACGCTGCTTTGACTCCCACCTGTGATCTCAAGCCAGAATCCACTGGAATATATGCATATTTGCTTAAATGCACGATTGAGTTTGGTGGATGTACAGGAAAGGGGCTTGAGGTGGAGAACTCGATGTAGCAATTCTTTTTCAATCGAAAGAGTTGTGTGGACATGACTTGCTCCGGCTCATTCGTAAATCTAATTCAGAATTTTATCATCGCGGAACTAGTTCTTCCTTTAAAGCAAAACTTCAATGTTCTTCCATGTAACGTGGCAACCCAGTCACGAACTTTGGCCAAAGAGGAAACCTTTCGCCTGAGGGGTGACCAAGCTCTCCAACACCTGGCTCGTTTCTAGCCAGACCCTCCGTTGAAGTTCCAATCCGAGTGTCCTGCCATTATCAATGAGTATTAGCATAGCTTCTACTGTATTTCAGGGTTCGTGATTTTTTATGTTTTTGACGCGGAAGTACAGGTTTCTCAACACTTCTTTGAGACCGTAGTAGTCACAGACTTACCTGTCCATGAACTCAGGGTACCTATGCCATGGCAAAATCATTAGCGAAAGTGCAATATTTCCACCGCCGCGTCTAATACAAAAGATCACGGGCCGTGTAACTTCTCAGAAAATGAGGGCGACGATCTGAACTTACGGAGCAACATCGTAATCAACCAGCAACTTCCCATGCGATCCTATCAGTGGTAGGCATGAATTCACCACAGTTCGTGCACACATCTCTATGGGTCGACCAATGAACCAAAGCAGCAGCCGACCGATCAAAACTTGTGAGCTGAGTGGCGTGAAACAGGCACCCGGATCCAGCTGGTGAACGTGAATCCTCGGATTACTGCCGGTAAGATGGCGTGCGCAGAGCTCCCTGATCCAGCATGCGTGAATGATCTTTGCAAGCCCATACTGGTAGCTCTTCTGTGTAGCGGCGTCTTTGACATTACTGACCTGCTCAAGGTAGCAGTCTTCAGCATCATCTGGGAGCTCGACCATCGGGGCTGCGGAGCGGATTGCTGCGCTGGTGAGACTGCAGAGCACCACTGGTTGAGTTTCTCCATCGGCTAGCATTTTGGGAAAGAGGAGTAAAATCAGGAGCGCCGATGAAATATGAATCAGTTGCAGTGCTAGATGAGCGTAATCCGTGTCAGAAATTTGACCTCGTAAAGACAGCATTGGTTGCGGTTTAGGGAGCTGAATCTATCAGCTGAAACTCACTCTCTTCCCAGCCATCTGCCGTCACTCTAGTCTCATCATTCATGATAGCAGAACCCATGACCACCACATCGATACGGTTCTGTAAATCGTTGATTCTGGCCGCAAAAGTCTGAACACTATCAAAGGATAAGAGGTCTACTTCCATCACCGTGATTTTTGGCTGTTGGCGAGAGCCCTCTTCGATTGCTTTCCTCAGTTCATCAGCCAAGGATTCGCCCTTTGCGACATTTCGGACTGCCAAAATGAGAGTTGAGACACTGAGGGTGGTAATAATCCGGGCCGCTTCTGAAAGGATTGCGCCGGTGGCGCCAACTAGGAGGACTGTCTTTCCTTCGAAGCTCGTCGTAGGTGGTGCAAGGTCCGCCTTTGCCTGTCGGCGGAAGGTGGCCCATGGAAAGACTTCCGAGAAAGGGATTTTGTCTGATTGAACCATGTTGAGTTTACAGAGCCCAAGGAAATGCAAGGAGAAGTTTGCCAGTCCTGACTGAGGTTCAAAGATTTCTCACCATGATGGCACATCAATCTTCACGATGTTCGCTCAGTGAGCAGACCGAGTCACCGAGACATAATCTCTAGTGCTGACATTTGTAGAATGGGTACAGGGTGTAGACTGTATCAAGCCATGATCCATGTATTGATTGGGCCCATACATGTTCGATTAACTGGACCCTAGCAAACACTGTCGGCACGTCTGGGCAAGTTCGTGTCATCCTGCATCTAGATTGAGGCGCTAAAACGACGCACTGTGCTCAAATTCGGTCACCGTGTCCGCGATCTGCACATCCACCGTACGGAGCACATTTCAAAGACACGGAAGCAACGGTAAGGGTAGTCCAGGAAGACAGATATCGTTCTGCATCATGCATGTGTATCGTAGTACCTCAGTGACGGTAGTGCAATCCTTCGCGCGAACTAAGATACAGCGGTTGTGGCTGCTTGGCCGAATCCCTCCGAAGATGATCCCGAAGATGACACCCTCGCGCTGCCGCCTAGACGAAGTCTGAAGTGGATTACGCCCAGACTAAAAAGTCAGGGTAACATTCGCTAATTCCGGCCATCGGGGTTTTCAGCATTACAAACCTGGCCTCACTCTTGCTCCACTCTACCTCTAGTTGTGGCATCATCGCCATCAGCGCGTCCTTCACAGTAGAGGAGCACGGCGCGTCTTGTTGTTGCGCACTACTCGATGCTCTGCAGCTTCACCTCAACGCCGCAATCATCATGGCGTTGTCCGACTTGAGAAATACCTTATTTACTGGCGACAGCAATGGCTTGTTGTGGTTCTTTTTTCTGGGCGTCGTCTTCCTTGTCGGCGGAAGCCAAGCGCGGACCAAGTCTGTAGATTCAAGAGAGCCACAAGAAGTGAAGCCCAAAATACCGCTTGTCGGCCACATCATTGGCTTACTAGGGTCGAGGCAAAAATACTATCGTCAACTCGGGTATGTAGAAAGCCAAGTCATTGAAGTCTAACATTCAGTACACGAGTTCAATGTGACAAGATGAGCCAAAATACTGACTGATGACATCGTATTAGCCTTGAGAATGCAACACTTCCGATCTTTTCCATCTCGATGGGTGGATCCGAGAAGATATACATCATTACGGCGCCGCAGCTGATCCAGGTTGCTATGAAAAACAAATCCTTGAATCTTTACCCGGTGATGGCGGAATTCGCACAGAAGATGGTCGGTCTAGGACCAAATGTCATGGACTTGTTCCACAACCCACCAAGCGATGGCTCTGTCTCGTGGATTGAGGACCAACATCCATCTTTTGCGCCCCTGGCTCCTGGTCCTGACCTACAGGAGATGAACACCTACGTCCTAAACAAGATCTCGGAGACCATCAACTCCATCGGACCTGATTACGAGACCAAGAAGCTTTACATGTGGTTCAGGGACTCCTTCACCATGGCCACAGTGGGCTCCCTCTTCGGCGACAAGAACTCTTTGATGCAGGATATGACGTTGAGCAAGAATCTATGGTAAGTTGCATCTCTCAGGCTCTCAAGTCCCAGGGATTGACTGCTTACAACGTCAAATAAAGGGACTATGATGGTGGCCAAGCGGAGTTACTCATGAAACCGCTACCCTCTATCACAGTATCAAAGGCATACAACGGCCGTGCCAGGGTGCAAAAGGCTCTCCGAAAATACTTCCGCGAAGATTATGATCACATCACCGATGCCAGCAGTGTCGTCAAGCGGCGCGTGGCAGTCAACCGAAAATGGGGTCTGCCCATTGACGACATCGCGGACCACGAGTTTGGAATGCTCTTTGTGAGCGTGACTAATGCTATCCCGACACTCTTCTGGATGATGTGTTATGTGTTCCGCGATGCCGATCTTGTTGCAGACTTGCAAAAGGAGCTTCTTGCCCTTGCTGTGATACAGCAGCAAGACAGCGATGCTAGCGGGAGCCGCCCGTCTCGGAAGTGTACTTTCACCGTTGCCAAGTTCCGTACAGAATGCCCCTTGCTGGTGTCTACTTACAAGGAAGTCATGCGCCTGACAAATCGCTCGACGGGTACACGCCGTGTCGTGGAGGACACATTGATTAGCTACACACCACCCAGAGAAGGCGGCGAAACAAAGACCTACCTGCTCAAGAAGGGTGCAAACATTCAAATCCCTGCCATCATCACCAACTTTGGCCCCGACGCGTGGGGCGAGAATGCACACGAATTCGATCCGCGGCGGTTCATGACCGCAGACAGAGAACGAGAGCGGGCGCAAAACCGTGCCTTTAACCCTTTCGGTGGCGGTAAACACCTTTGTCCCGGACGTTTCTTTGCCGACGCGGAAATATTGGGGGCGATGGCTGCGTTGGTACTAGGATTCGAGATTGAAACTCCGGCTGGTGACAGGATCGAAGTTCCGCAGATCAATAACAACCTGGCTGAGGCTGTTGGAAAACCCTTAACGAGCGTTCAGGAGAACATGCTTGCGAGGATTCGGCGGAGGCCAGGCTGGGAGGATGTGGAGTGGGCGTATATCGCGAACAACGTGGCAACTTAGAAGGAGTAAAATGTTCACAAGGCGCGCCGATCATGCCAGTTTGTCCAGTTTGTTGCAGTTCTTCGCAATATGAGGGTATGAAATTTGGCTTTATTGACCTTTGACGAAGCCGTTGCGGTCCCGGGCCGGCGTCATTCCCGGAAAGCCGGTGAGGGGTCGCCGCGGAATGCTAGCCGCGGAGACCTTCCCGAGCCGCTTATCGGCAAGGGAGTAGCAACATGGGAGGCCGAAATGGCACGGGTTTCCGGGCTTACCTAACGCGATCTCTGTGAAGCTGCATCATATGGATCTTTAGAACTGCAAATCTTCATGGGTGTCCCCCATAGATTCACACTTCCTCTTCGTTTGCCAAGAACTCGACGTTCCTTATCACTTTGCAGAATCAATGGTGCCACACCCAAGCCAGGCACTTGCCGTCATTCCGGGCGATGCCCAGGGCCAGGTCATCTTCTCAGATGTCCCGCTCAGCTTCATGATGGGTGTCGACTCAAAGACCGGCATCGTCGCAGATGCACACCATCCCCTCCGCGGCACGTCTCTCAAAGACTCTGTCCTCGTCATCCCTGCTGGTCGCGGATCCTGTTCCGGCAGCAGCGCAATTGCAGAGCTGATACTTTGCGGCAACGCACCTGCAGCCCTTATCTTCAGGGACGTGGAAATGATTCTCACCCTGGGAGTTTTAGTTGCGGAGAAGATGTTCGATAAGCGCATTCCGATTATCTTTCTTTCAGACGCATCGCACTTCGAAGTCTTCCGTAAAGCTTCGGCAGTGCAAATAAACGAAACGAGCTTGTTGGTTTCACCAGGCGGCCACAAGATTGACTTGGTGCCACAAAGCGTAAAGGCGTTAGAGTTGAATCCAACAGACAAAGCCATCTTGTCTGGCGAGAGCGGCGAAGCTTCTCGTATCGCAATGGAAATCATCGTTAAGTACGCCACGATACAGGGGGCACAACGCCTGATTGATGTTTCTCAAGTCCATGTGGACGCTTGTGCCTACGTTGGCGAAAGCAGTCTCCTCGTCCCTGAGCGCCTGCTCTCCCTCGGAGGAAAGTTTGTCGTACCATCGACCTGCAACTCCCTGAATGTCGACCGGCAGAGGTGGAAGGAATTGGGAGCCAACCCCGAGATCTCTCAAATATCTGACAAGATTGGAGAGACGTATCTCAAGCTGGGCGCCAAGATGAGCTTCACCTGCGCTCCGTACTTGCTCGAGAGTAAGCCTAAAGCCGGAGAGCAAGTTGGATGGTCTGAGTCCAATGCAGTAGTATTCGCGAACAGTGTGCTGGGAGCACACACACAGAAGTATCCTGATTATATGGACGTTTTCATTGCATTGACCGGAAGGGCTCCTTATGCCGGCTGTCATGTGCCAGAGGGCAGGAAGCCGGAAGTCATAATCAAGGTCACCCAAATTAGCGCATTTGATCCATCGTTTTTCGCTCTTATTGGCTACAGCATTGGACATGTGGTCGCCGCCAAGATCCCTGTTGTCATTGGAATGGAGACGACACGACCGACCATATCGGATCTGAAGGCATTCGGGGCGGGGTTCGCAACAAGTTCGTCTGCTCCCATGTTTCACATCAATGGCATCACGCCAGAGGCTGCAAGTTTCGGAGATGCACTCACCACTCTAGAAACCATCGAGGTGACAATTCCTGAACTTCAGTTGGCTTGGAGACAGCTCAATACGGCTACGGACCCTTCCGTCGATATCGTCTCCCTAGGAAATCCGCACTTTTCCCTAGAAGAATTCTCACAACTTGCCGAAGTGTGCCGCGGCAGACACAAGTCACCTAGTGTCGAAGTCATGATCACCACTGGCCGTGAAACATACACAGAGGCCCTGAACCTCGGCTATCTAGACGTTATCGAGAGCTTCGGTGCCCGGCTGATAACGGATACGTGCTGGTGCATGATAGAGGAGCCGGTCGTTCCTCTGGAAGCAAGAAACGCTATGACAAACTCTGCCAAATATGCTCACTACGGCCCGGGGATTGTGGGTAAGAAATTTCACTTTGGAGATGTTGTCGCGTGTATCAAGGCGGCAAGTAGAGGCCATAGATATGAAGACGAGATGAGCCCGCGGTGGCTTTTCCGGTGACCCAAAGACATTCGGGATTACTCACTCTGCATTTAGAAAGTTGAATAGAAAGATATCATGATCAAAGGTATAGGACCGGAGGTCGTAGACTGTCATATGCCCTACAAACTTGAGCCCAGGTTGAACAACTGCAAAATGAGCAGTCCTCGTTAAGAAAGTAGGTTGAACAAGTATTGTCTGTTGCCGGAAGGTTCTTCAAGCACCAATCAGAGTTGTCCCTGACCCCTTATGTATCAATTCACTACCGAGAGCGTCATACCTAAGGAAAGGTCGGTAGTCGCGGAGGCAGATGATCGGTATTTGCACGCAA